ACCGCATCTGCTGCTGCACCGCCTGCGTCTTCTTCTTGCCGCCGGGCAGCTTCTGTCGCAGCGCCCGCAGCGCCGAGCCGACGCTGCGGCTCTTGAGCTCGGTAAAGTTGGGGTTCTTCCAGCCGCCGCCGACGAGCGAGTCGACGCGGAGGCGGTTGATGAAGCGGTCCGACTGGTGCCGCTTGACGTCCTCGTAGCCGTCCTTGGCCATCGTGATGGCCAGCACCGCCAGCAGCGGCAGCATCGAGACGCCGGGGTTGATGGTCGAGAACTGCGGGAAGAACTGGAGGATGACAATGACTGCGGGCGGGCACGGGAACAAGAGACGGACAAGGGGAGGTCAGTGGGGCGTCCAGCCTGCACGTCAGGGGGAGCCTGGGCTCGCCCGCGGCCCCATCCTCCCACGCTCTTTCCGCCTGATGCTGCTGGTGGCCATGGCCGCCACTCACGCAGGAAGAAGAGGTTGGCTATTCTGCGGAACTGCTCGAGCAGGTTTTTGAAGACAAAGTTGTAGAGGGTGTACTTGGCGGTGAGGACCTGGTTCGAGGCGTACTCCCAGCCGGGCGCTGGCCTCCCCTTTTTCCCAAACGCCTCGGCGGGCAGCGGCTGGTTGAAGTAGACGGTCCTGGGCGCCGGCGGCGGGCGCTTCTTTGCAAAGGCCGTCTCTGGGTTGAGGTCGATGCTCTTGAGCTTGGCCCAGAGGGCCTTGGGCCCGGACGCCTTTTTGGGCGGATCCGCCGTGCTGGTCATGGTGGCCGTTGCGCGCAGAGAGCCCCGAAAGGGCTGGCGGCGGAGCTGGGGTGATGCGGGTGAAGAGGTGGGATGTTAGGCGGATGCGATCGGAGGGACAAGTTGGGTCGGCGGGTGAAGAAGGCGGAACCGGGGACAAGGCCGGTGGCGACGGTCTCTATCCGCGGCGGATCCACGAGCAGCGAGGCCGGATCGAGAGCAGTGCCGCTCCGGGTCGAGTACCAGGTGCCACTTCCGCCAGACGAAGCGAGGACGATGGACGAGGGCGAGGGACTACCGGACACCTTCAAAGGGCCGAGGGTCAAGACTGGCCGGTGTCGGGAGTGGCAGCGAGGACGCCTTTGTTGATTGCGTCGATGTCCGCGCGGGCCCCTGGTGGAGCGGTGGCAACAAGGTGCGAGGAAAGGCAGCGAGGGCAAGGTGCAGTGGCGGTGTTGGTGGTGGTGGAAGGGTATCAAGGGCGGGACGTGGCGTTGCAAGCCTGATGGACGGAGGGCGGTGGAGAGAGAGAGGGAGAGAGAGAGAGAGAGAGAGAGAGAGAGAGGAGGAGGAGGGAGGACGTACCGGTCCGGGGTACCGGGGTTACGGGTTGGTAGGACGGACGGGACGGGGTTCGGGTTTGGTTCGGACGGACGGGTACGGTTA